AACAACCTACAAAATTAACCTAATCTAAAGCATTTACCATTTACCAAATCACCAATTTTGTAAATTAATAACAATAACAAGATAAATACCTAAAGTAAAACATTTACCAATTACCACAAAATTAACCTAAAATACCTAAAGTAAAGCATTTACCAATAACCAATTACAACAAAATTAACCAACAAAATTAACCTAAAATACTTAACCTAAAGCATTTACCAATTACCAATTTACCACAAAATTAACCTAAAATCATTTACCAATTATCAATTACCACAAATCCACAATATAAAAATTAACCTAAAATACTAGACGAAATTGAAATTGGAAATTATAATTTTAGTTGTTTAGTGTTTACCCAAGAGATGAATGAAGAGAAGTCTAGAAGAAGAGCCTCTGGGCTCTGCGCCTCTGCCGACTGCTTAGGGCCCAAGAAGTAGAAAGCTTGCACTGTTGCTGACTTGCTGTGTTGCACACAGCCACACAGTCGGACCGGTGAGAGGCGGTGCAGGCGAGGCGGCAGCACAGCGCACAGCAGCACAGCGCAGCGGCACGGCACAGCACAGCGCACGGCACAGCGCACAGCCTCGCAGTCGCAGATGGCAGATTCGAAGTCGCAGTCGCTAGACCTAGACGCCTCATGCCTCACGCCTAGACGCACGGTATTCAATTTCAGGTATGTCTTCACAGCTTCACTCTTCTTCACTCCCTTCGGCCTTCATTCACAATTACAATTCACAGATTCACAACTCGTTTCTTGGTCTTGGGCTCTTGGTTGAAGAGGGAGGGGCCTCCTACCTCATCTTGTTGGGGGCCCAATTACACCAAATCTCAAAATACAAGTAAAAAAAAATTTGGGCTTTCATATAAGATTTTTGTTGGGGGCCCAGGACCCCAACCCCTTTTTACTGCGTCCGCCCCTGCCCGTCATAAAAAAATGATTCTTGATCTTTGTCACGCTCACCCAGTAAAGTGGCCGTTTACCTAAACACTTACCTGGTAAATACTTACCGGTAAAATTCAACACTATTGCTTATTTACCGGGTAAGATTTTATTCACTAAAACGCACTGTATGTAACAATTTATCCCGGTAAGCGCTAACTATGGTAAGAGTCATCGTTCTCACTTACCGGATAAGATCTCAATTCTTGTATTTGCTCTTACCGGATAAGATTTTTAGTCATTGTCATATTCATCCGGTAAAGTAAAGTGACTTGGTAAGCACTTACTCGAATAAACGTTTGATAAACGAGACCTTAATCAATCCAAATATTAAAATTCATTGTATTAGAAATTAATTTTGTTAAGGGATTAACCATTTCGATCAATATACCGACACATTCAAGATAAGTTCGTGCAAGATAAAATCAACAAATACCGATGTGATAAAATGCAGCCCAGCTCTCTAAAACTAAGCGGTTGGACAATTTCACCCCTTTTGGTCGTACCTTCCGTCTACCCGCACCGATGCCTAAATACATAATGGCAACCATGTAAATAAATGGTAAAACGAGGGTCAATATGGTCCACATAACCAATATAAATAGACATCCAAACCTTGGTAAACGAGTTGAGCTCAGATCGCTGTGAGGGTGGTTATCAATGGAGGATCATCATAATCGCCGATCGGACCTTCTACTACTTTTTTTAATCTTCTTATTCACGGCGACGGCAGCGGCGGCATCGCCGGTCACCGTCGTTGGCGAAGAAAAAGTGAAGCTGGATGTATACTACGAAGCTCTGTGTCCGTCGTGTGAGAATTTCATCGTCAACTATCTATACAAGATATTCGACAATGGAGTGATTTCGATCGTTGATCTGAAGCTTAGTCCTTATGGAAACGCTAAGATCAGCTCCAATGGCACCATCGTTTGCCAGGTTTGCTTACCCCTTCACAATAACTGTTGCCAATTTGTTTATGAGCATATAGCTTCAATGATCATATTTCATCTTCAATATATTCATAATATTTTACACCAAATCATTTATGTC